TTGACCAATAATACAATTAAAATAAATAAGTATTGTTTATACTAAATTTATTTATAATTGGCTTATACATTTTTTTAATGATTTTTTACAATTAAGTTTCCTTGACAATTAGATGTAAATGTTGATTTTATTGACATTTCAGTTCACTCCGTTTTTCACCATGAAAAATAAACTATCGTCTTGTGTAATTATTAAGATTTATTTAATTAGTTATTGATATGGCAAGTGAAAAAAATATTTTTGGTCAAACAAATGAATCAAACTTACATAAGGTCATACGCAGAGTTGAAGAAATATGGAATCGTCGTTTCATGCATTCCAATTGTGTTTTAAATAATACAAATAAAGGACAAATATCAAAAAAGTCAACTAAAGATGGAAGAATTATCTGTAAACACTATTAAGATTAATAATTAAACTAACTATTTCGAATAGAGAAAAAGTTTTTTAATATAAAATATAAGAAAAATTAATAATAAGTTCTCTTATTCATATATAACAATAATTCAGCCGCTTTACTTTAATTTAACTATTTTNAATAATTCAGTCGCTTTACTTTAATTTAACTTTTTTAATATTAAAAACCTTTTTCGAAATTGATTATTTAATTAATAATTATTAAAATTATATTCAATTTGCAGCAATTATTAATAAAAATATTTATCCTATAAAAAATTCCATTATTCCAAAAAAACGCACGTATCGAAAAACGAATAAAAATGATAAAATTATTCCAGAAAAATTGGTAACTATAATTATATTAATATATTTATTCGATTTAGCTATGTTATTGGGGTTTGTCTGATTCAAAAATATAAAATAAACTATCAACCCCCTTAATATAAATGCGGTAACNACAAACTATCAACCCACTTAATATAAATGCGGTAACATAATGTTTAATATTATTCTACTATTTTAGCTTCGATGCGAAGCTGAGAAGGTATTGGTTTTACTATGATGCGTTTTTTTTTTTGTGTCTGTTACTACTTTTTCTCAGCTCTCACCGAACCGATTTCTTTCAATGATACGTCAAAAGATCACAAATCGTATCTAGTCGAAGACATTACCCTTAAAAATTGAAAAAAATTCCCTCGTTCCCCGTAAAAGNCCCCTTAAAAATTGAAAAAAATTCAATCGTTCCCCGTAACGGGGGAAACCTCAAAAAAAATTACAAATTTAAAAATCGCTAATTTTCGAAATTTTTTAAAATTTTTTTACTTAAAAGTGCCATAACTTTTTCAAAAATGAACATATTAATATAAATCTTTTTTATATAGATGCATAATATCATTACCTTTCATTTGGTATATTTTTTTCATAAATTTAACCCTTAACCTGCCCACAAGGGGGGATTTAAAATGACAACTTTTTCACAAAAAATTAATTTTTTTAACTTAAATTTTGAAAATGTTCCGGAAGGTCTGACACTTTTATATATATCTTAAATTAAAGCTAATGTAAT